AGGCAGGGGCTCACCGCGGTTGCTGGGACGAAAATAAACATGAAACTTGAATTTCCGGGTTTGGTTCACCTTCCAGATGGCAGTGTGGGATCAAGGAACAGCGTTAGAGGGCATAAATCGTATGTTCGCCCCTGTGGTCTCAGCTAAGGCTTCTGTTTACTGGCTTTAACGCCCCCCCCCCCTGCCCCCTTTCTCTTCTGCTTTCCAACCCAAAATTGATTTTCCTCTGCGAGGGAAATGGGAATGGCTTTTCCTGTGCGGTACGTGCGTGTGAGGTGGTGGCAATGCTTGAAACTGAGGAAACGATTTCAACTCTTTAGTCTTGACAGTGCTGTAAGCCTTTGCGTTCTTTGTTTATGGTCGCTGCTTTTTTAAATTAGGTCATGTTTATTTTATACTTTCAGGTATATGAAGAAAAGGATTATAGAAGAGTTAGATTTGTTGGACGACAGAAGGAGGTAACTCGTTCTACTTTTACTCGCGGGAGAGAGGGTAGTTTGTGGGGGTTTTGGTTTATACCTGATATTGATGTCCTCAACTTGATGTTAAAAAAAAAAAACAACCCCAACCAATCCCAAAAAACGCAGCCAAAACTAACCAAGCAAAATAAAACCCCTACCAAAACCAAACTGGTTTGAATTTGGGGGTTTGTTGGGTTTTTCACTACGGTGAAAACTTTTCTTTTAAGACTGCTCACAGTAGCCTCTGTGTACCTCCCTACTTTTAGTGGATTTGGAAAATTCAAGACTTGCCCTACGCCTGTTGAGTGCTTACGTTGAGGCTGTGGAAGTTGTAGGTGTTTGAGCATTGTAAACTTGGGCCACGTTTTGCTTTAAGCACGTGTTTTAAGAAAACTTTAAGCATGTTTGTGTTGAGAAAACTTTAGTGCTGTTTGTGTTGAGAAAAATCACATCACTAAATGCTCTGCCGAATTGTGCATCTGTATATCTGTTTAAATGTGTGTTTTGAAGCTCATTTTGCTTCTGCGTAGTTAAAATCTTGATCTCTCCCTAAACTGAGTTTTCAATGAGGCCACTTCATTTCCAGAGCCTGGGAAGCATTTGCCGAAAACAGTGATGTAACAAATAAAACTAAAATTTAGAGTATTCTGAAATGACGAAGCCTCAAAGGCAAAGTCTGGTAACACCAGCATCAGCCAAGTGCACTGCTCTGAAGTTATCTCGTTGCCTGTTGCTGCTGCTGATCAAGAGAGTGGGTAGGTGAAATTGTAAGTCCATTAGCATCGAGTTCTCCATGACAACCGAGCAGCATGGCTCCATGAGGGATCTGCTGGCCTTTGGGAGAGAAACAGAGAACATTTCAGCTCCGCTGTATTCCTTGATGCCTGAGGATTTGATTAGTGCCTCAGTGTTAGTGCTGCAAGCATACATGTGTCATAGAGGCATTAAATGTAAGGTGCGGTAGATGTTTAATGTACTTGTGTATAATTATTCCCTTCCTAAATTAACCTGAACTGATTATGTTGATTTCTGAGTTCTCATATTGTGTTTACCTCATTGTATCATGGATGAAATTTAACTCGTGCTGTGTGGCAAAAGTGGGGATTCTACATGGAAAATGTCAACTTAAAGTGCTGAAGTAGCTCACTTCTGGGAGGATAATGGCAAAGCAGGTCTCTCCCTGTTTCTGTGCTCCTGCCGTAACTTTCCAAGGAAACATTCCTTAAAGCCTAATTCTCCACAGGACACGGGTCCCTCTGATGTGCCTTTGCCAGCAGCTGATTTCAGACTCTGCAGTGAGGAACACCCAGGGCTTTCAGTTTGGCCCAGCTCCTCCTCCTCCAGCAAAAGACAAGCTTTTAAGTCATAGAATCATAGAAGTTTTGGGTTGGAAGGGACCCCTAGAGGTCATCTAGTCCAACCCCCCTGCAGGAGCAGGGACACCGCTAACTAGATCAGGTTGCTCAGAGCCCCGTCCAACCTGGCCTTGAATGCTTCCAGGGATGGGGCCTCCACTACCTCTCTGGGCAACCTGTTCCAGTGTTTCACCACCCTCATTGTAAAGAATTTCTTCCTTATATCTAGTCTAAACCTACCCTGGTTTAGTTTAAAACCATTACCCCTTGTCCTGTCACAGCTGGCCCTACTAAAAAGATTTTCCCCATCTTTCCTATAGGCCCCCTTTAGGTACTGAAAGGCCGTAATCAGGTCTCCCTGCAGCCTTCTCTTCTCCAGGCTGAACAAGCCCAACTCCCTCAGCCTGTCCTCATAGGAGAGGTGCTCCAGCCCTCGGATCATTTTTGTGGGCCTCCTCTGGACCCGCTCCAACAGTTCCATGTCCTTCTTGTGCTGAGGGCTCCAGAGCTGGACGCAGTACTCTAGGTGAGGTCTCACCAGAGCTGAGCGTCTGCTGAGCGAGGTTCAATGCTATGTTTTAATTGTGAAATTGGAATAAGATTTACATGTTAAATACTAAAATGATCCTCGTCTGTGCTTATTAATGGGATCTCTCTCTAGGGGCTTCATCATTATCCCCCAGTGTGTTTCACCTGCTAGTATTGGGGTTTCACAGCCATGTCTGTAGTCTGAATCTTGTCTTGTTTCTGAAGCTAAAGCTAGCCTGTGAAGCTGGTGGCTGTACTTTCTCGCTCGCTTCTTCTCTTCGCCTTCAGTATGCTCCGAGTGGTCAAGCCTGGCTTGTGATCGGCCCATCCCATTGGCGGCAGCGTCTGGGGATGCAGCCTCTGAACGCACGTGCTCTCCATGGGGGCGTCTGGGCCCACGCCCCGGTGCTGCATGTGGTCTCTCTGGGTGGTGTCCAGAGTATGTGGCTATTGTCCCCTCAGTTCTGCCAGCCTAATTGTTAATGAAATCCATGTGTTTTAGCTGAAATCATTGTTCTCTGTGCTGGGTGTGCCAGAACCAGGGGATTAGTGCTCTTTGGCAAGGGCCTAAAGCCAGTAGCTGTGAGAAAACTGAGCACAGCGACTGTTAAATTGCATCTCCTGCAGTCCAACTGGGGTCATCCTGCCCTTGTACAATCCTGAAGGTACCACAGGACCTAATTCGACACCACCGTTCCAGCTTTACCCTTTCTGTTGGTCTGGTGCAGCAGCTGAAGCTATGAGAACTGACCTCAGAGCTGGTCCAGTTTAAATATAACCTCCTGCCTTCCCTCTGGATCTCTGGACCTGGGTCAGTTCTGAGTTTGGTTTCCTCTCAGCCTCCCAGACCCTGTACCGGCACAGACGAGTAGGTGGAAAGAAGCAGCAATGGGATTATCAAACTGGCACTATGGTCAGGAAAAAAATTGCTCATTGAATAATGCATTGGGCAAGGAGTGTTTGGACGTGCGGAGGGAAACAACCCCTTCCTGCTAACTAATGCTATGCTTTAATTGAAGGGGTATGATATACCTAAACCCACTTCTTTTTCCTTACAGTTTTTCTCAGTCTCTCTGCAAATTCCTAGACTCTGTCGTTTAGTAGGCTGAACCACGGGCAAGTCATAGCTGTACAGTCAATGAGAGGTTCTTGCTTCCCCCTTTCTCCACAAATACCTTTGTGGTTCAGAAATGTTGGGAAAACTGGAGTTCTGCTTCTGGTCTTGAAGCAGAGGTGCATCATGGTGCTATCTCCCTCCTTTTTCAGCATGAAACAAAGGATGCACAATTTTGAGCGTTATTAAAAGCAGCAGTAAAAATCCTTGCAGGTTGGCGAAGATTACATACATTGCTTGTAGACCCAGACCTCAGGCAGTGAGGTTCTTGATGTTGCCAATTTGCTTCAATACTGAAAGTTAATTTTCTGGTTAAATTTATTAAGCTGTCATCTTCTTTAGGTAAAGAAAATCCGGTTGTTGGCAAAACTGACTTTTCCACTGCTGTACCAAAAATGCAAATTTTGTGGAGACTTAATTGGAGGCTTGGTGAAAGATCATAAGTTGTTGTGTACTAGAACTATATGAAAATGCCATTGTAGTTCTTAGGGATTCATTTAATGGACCCTTGGCTATCTTTTTCCTAAGAATCTCATCTTCATTCAAACACCAGCCTGTTTATGAACCTTATACAGAGAGTAGCGGATAGTGCCTTCTTTGGGTGTGCATATCATTCTGTATTCTTGCTTGTATAACATTGCCTTTGAAAAAGCTGGCCCCTTCGGGAGCATGTTTAGCTGAGGGGCTGGGGTGGCGGTCTGCCCCGCGCTGTCTGGGAGCAGGTTGGAAGAGGCTGGTGCGGATGAGGGAGGAAGGCGCTGTGGCTGGCTGCCGTAGGTCCTGCTGAGGCGCAGGTCGCTGTGTCGCAGGCCTGTCCAGAGGTGGGTACGTTTGCCAGGCCATATAGACCTGCTCTGGGAAAAAGCCCTACTTGTCAGCGATGTGCATGTTCAGGAATTGTGTGCAAGATGGATTTACGGAGCGGCATAGTGACATGTAGAGGCTTTTCTTTTTTCCTTATGCTGAGCAATTTGCCTTTCTGACTGTTGTTATGCACCACGCTCATGTTTTCCTGAGATTCCTGTGCAGTGATAGAATAAGGTGCGTAGTGAGAGGCTCTAAATTACCAGCATTGTTATCTCACTCCTGACCTTACTTGTCCCACCATTATTTTTGAGTTTATCAGCAGTGAGTCTTTTGCAATTTTATCAGTCGCTAAAGCAGAATACAGAGGCAGTGTCAGTTAAATATCTTCTGTTCTTGGCTGCATGTTCCTGCTCACCTCTCTGTTGAATCTGCTTAGGTCACGTTGTAAACCTGAGCACCGATGTGGCCTGTGTATCAGGGGAAGGGGATTGCTTTTGCGGAGTTTAACATGCTTAGTTCACTGGCTTATAGCACAGCCTAAGAATTGGTGGAGGAGGTGGGAGGAAACGTATGCAGGAACTTCTCAAGATGGCTGTAGTGGAACTGCTTGGGCAGGCGGTAAATAGCAACTGCTTTCTGTTTGAGTGGGGAAGGTATCTGAAAGCTTCCTTTTTCTCTTACAGGTGAACAAGAATTTTGCGATTGATTTGATAGCAGAGCAGCCTGTGAGTGAAGTTGAAAGCAGAGTGATATCATGCGATGGTGGTGGTGGAGCTTTGGGACATCCTAAAGTATACATAAACTTGGTAATATCTTTTTGATCTGTGTATAGCATGTTTTGCCTGTCAATTCTTGTTTGTAAGATCATCTACTTTTTGGCATATTAGTGTAACAAAGTAAAAGGATTAACCAAGAGGTGTTAATTTTATTTGCTGCCTAATATAAAATTGAGATTTCTACTCAGAAGAGCTAGAGGGTTTCCATTTGAAGTTACCAGCCATTTCTTGCTCTTGATTTTGATTTGTTTGATGGGACAATATTTTTTTTTTTTTTAAAATAAATTAACTACAAAGTAGTATGAGCAAGCAGTGCCTTGTGAGCAAAAAATAACATGCTTGCTGTGTTTTGAGAAACTCACTCTAATTATTTAAATGCCACTGTGTAGACTGAGGATACATTTGCAATGTTCTTAGGAATATGCAATTTATTTTGAATCCTGCATGTTCAAGGAAAAAAACCAAACAAACATCAAAATTCTTTCAGTCTTTGGGAATCTTGGTAGTTCTGAAGATTGAAAGTTTCCATCGTGGTCAGAGAATCAGTGAAGAATAAATGTCTCATCATCTTTGTGTTTACCCTGACAACAGTGATAGTTTCCAGTGTATTATTATTCTAGAGAGTAAGAATATTGAGACTCCTGTCTTTTGACCTTGGTGGAGTCAACAAGGACCTGTTTCTTAGGTACTGTTCTCAGGCAGACCCTGACTGCAGATGTCTTAAAATCTTTGCCTGCCCACTTAAACTCTGACATTTGATTAATACCCAAAAGAATGGTGGGGGAGAGCTGGTGTCCTTCAGTGTCAGTGTTGTTGCGACTCCTAACTATAATCACAAGCATTTCTATTTTGAACAAAGTAAGCACTTTAAAATGACTCATTTTACATTATTCAAACTCAAATGCATGGAGGTTATAATTCATAAAACTTAGGAAGCTTGTGTTCTTCACTTAAGTTCTGTAGCACACTGTTGATTCATTAAGGAATGCTTTAGTCTTTGTGAATTTTGAGTTCTTTTTGTTTTAACAATCAAATTACAAGATGTCTGTGGTTTAGTTCTAATGTCTGCAAAGAGAGAATGGTATTAGACCAGCTTGCTTCCCCTAGCCCTAACAATTGAAATATGGGGTTTTGGGGGTGGAGGGTAGTCTGGATTTTTCACTTCTGATCCTGTATTATGGAAGGAGAACCGTGAGATTACTTCATTTCATGACTGCAGATAGTCATGTTGCTAAATAACAGAAGATCCCTTAGTGTTTATCTAATTGTCTTTGCTTTTGTCATGTTAAGGAGGACTACAACAACAGCTTGCAGTCAGTCACACTTTCTAAATTTAAAAAAAAATGTATCTTTTGGAGAGAGGAATAAAATTTTATACAGTAGTAACTGCTACTTTTCTCTAAAACGTTTTCCTTAAGAATTTCTCCTGGAATCTTACTGAAATTTCCGCCTTCCATGCAACCAACTCTTGTCAGCTTGCATTACTGGCCAAAATTCCTGTCTAGATATAGCTTGGAAATGCCACATTCTATTCTGTATTAAAATAATTATGAAATTATCTTTTCAGAACATTGAAATAGATATGACCGAACTGACTTAAGATGTCAAGTTTGGTAAGATGATCCATTATTGATGAAGAGATATCAATTGGCTTGACTTTAAGATTATATTGTTGAGATTAGGCCTGGTAGTTAAAAGGCTGGCAGAAGGGAAGCTGCATAGGATACAGACATCAAGCATGAACCTCATACCATTGTTCTTACTTCCAGTGTTTCGAATAAGATTAAACTCTGTACTTCAGCTATATTGATCTGTTTTATGATGGCACATATAAGTAAGAGAAAATGTGTAATTTCTACAAGTTTTTATAAAGTGAAAGTAGCAGCTGTTGTATTTTTTTATATTTTTGCAGGACAAAGATACAAAGACAGGAACATGTGGCTACTGTGGACTTCAGTTTAAACAGAAACATCACTGAAGGATTATCCCTGCGTGCTTGCAGATTTCTCTTCAGATGTTAACGTTTAACTATAAATAAACAATATATTTAGAAACCTGAGATTAATGTTTGTGTTTATCTTGACTATGGGAAGTCCAATCTGTACCTTTTTAAAACCCAGCTTGTCAGGTATTTGAGAGCTGAATAGTACAGTATTGGTACAACGGTACAATATTACAGTATCTGTTTTGTGCTCAGTTTGGTTTTCGTGGAACAAATATCCTGCCTTGTTCGGCAGACTTCTTGCAGGCTTGGAAATGGCATTTGGCTGCAGCACAGGTTTGGTTTGTACTGGGTAGATTTGTATTCTTTTCAACACTGAATTGGATGTAAATGTTTACTGGGGGATTAATTATCCTAGGTATTTGTCTTTTGGCATCATTTGACACTCTTAATTTGTTCATGGCCTAGTATCTAGAGATTCACAAATGGAAGCACACAGATACTATGAAACTCGGCATTACAACACATACTCTGGAAGTGAGGTTGTCATCCAGGAATTAAGTAGATACACTTGCTACTTCTTTAAAAGAAACAGATAGTGTACCTTAGAATGGTAATTGGTGTGAGCTGGAGAACTACCTAAGCTGACACATGTGAAGGGTGAGGACATCAGCATTTGTCCTCTAACTTGAGAGGATCAGAGTGTAAATATCTGATTCTGCTTGGGTTTCACACCCTTGAAAACTCTTTAGGAACTGGGTCTTGTCAGACTCAAAGTAGGGATTGCTCCATTACAGGTAGCAGCTTCTGGACCTGTAATATGGAGTATCTGGCAGTGAGAGCATCCACCTATGTGTAACACCACCTAGGCTGTGTGAGGCTGGTTGTAGGACATCATCTCCCTTCTTGCTTAATTACACTTGCATAGCATTCCATCATGTAAGCATGACTCTCAAACAGGACGTGTGTCTGGAGAAGGAGGGTCTGAGTTTTGGTCTTTGCTCCAGAGACCACTTTAATCTGTTGTCAGTAAATGACTTTTTTTTTTTTTTTTTTTTTTTTTTTTGAGATGCTGGTGATAGAACGTGGTCCCAGGTAGTAACTACTGCTTGGCCAAAGTTTAACGGGTCATGATTCTAAACCTGCTGTTTACATCATTTTAGTTAAATTGATGTGGTGGTATCAAGTTGAACCACATTATGTGGGTATACAGATGTTTAACTTGCCTGTGTCAATTTATAGATGAAGTTGAACCAACACAGTCAGGCTTAAAGCAAGGTCTGAACTATTCTGTCTGTAGAAGTTGTGTGTTTAGAGGCTGTGCTGCAATTACTCACATGCAGGTACACCCCTCCTCTTTTTTCATTCATTCCACCTGTAAGAGCTTAACCTCCCTGTCTGTCTCTTCCCCTTCTTCCTCCTTCCCTCTCTTTTTCTCCTTTCCATTGCTGCTGATTTCAGTGATTATCTGACTGGCCTTCAATTCATTCTTTGTGAAGACTTAGATTTAGGAAGCAATATTAGGGTCATGCATTGTAAACTCATTGTAAATTCAGTGTAGGTTACTGAGCACTGACTTTTCTGTAAGCCCAGGGTCTGACTGAGGCTACGTGGCTGTTATGATGGTTGTAGTTTTGTAATGTTGGTGCAGTGGCCAAGTTCAAGAAGACTTATGATATGTTGCGTTTCGAGTAGCACCTGAGTATGTACAAAGATGGCAAAGGATCCTTTCATAAAATACAGTAACGTGCATTCAGCCTATCTGACCTTATGCAAATGATCTGTCAACTGAGCATAAATGTGACATTGCAAATGGTCTCCTGGTTAAGTCCATCTCATGCTCTAAATATAAAATAATTACTTGAACTTGCAGTGTTTGTCTTTAAGCATACATCTGGTTGCTTTTTAGTCTGGCATTCTACCAGTTTGTAGAGCATCTTGGCTGGCACAGTACTCTCGTGGTGTGATCATCTCTGCAAAGAGACCTGAAACAAGTAATCATATGTGGTCCTCTTCCCTGGGCCTTTGATTTTTCTTATGAATAATATATCTGCTTGGATCACTGCTGCTCATAATAAATTAACAATGTTTAAATTGGCACAGCATCTGCTGAGGACCCAGACAAATCCCATCCCACTGGTCTCAACTATGGAATGCTGTTCTTGGATGCTCTCCCTAATGTACTTGTGATATGTGAAGCTGTTGACACCAGTGAAAGAAGGAAGGTCTCTACTTCACTCTGGTGATCTTCACAGGAAAACTTCAAACTTTACTCCTTATCGTTTCCTGTGTGCTAAGTTTATGTGTCTAGTTGGGAATGGCTGTTTAGATGAAGCCTTGCACTTTGAGCCACACCACCCACATACCTGCGGCCAACCTTGATCTGCAGGAAGAAGTAGTGAGGGAAAGCAGAAACTTTTACTGTGGTGGTCACAAGCAGTTACAAGTGAAAAGGGATCCATGAGGACAGACTAAACCACATCAGTATCGAACCAAGTACAGCCTAAAACACTAAGATAGGATAAAACAAAGTGAGGGTAGACTAAAAGTACCAAATCAGCGTTACAGTTCTCAAGCAACAAATTCAGACTAGAAAGCAATATGGAATAAAACTTTCAGACTTAAATTCAATCAAACACTGTTTTGCTCTTTGTAGATAATTCATCCCAGGCTGGAATTATAGTCTCTTGCTCCGATTACCAGAATACAAACCATAGTTTATACTCTGTCACTATGGAAATATAAAATATTCTACGCTGATGTGTAGCTTGTCTTAACAACTGTATCTTGCCTTTACCTACTAAAACCAGATAGGCTCTTTTCCCTTTACTGACAGTTATATTAAGCTTTTCTTGGTGGAAATCCCAATGTATTCAGACTTCCAAAACAAATAAGGACCATCCATCCTTTTCCCCATATTACTTAGTAGCTCTCTGTCCTCTAATTAAAAAGTAACTAAGATGAGTTTACAAGGCAAGTCCTGTTTGTTCACAAGAGTACAAAGCACTACTATGACCATGGCATAATATGCAAGTGCACCTTTTATAAAACTTTTCAGATGTATGGCATCTGATTGTGCTCTGGAAGTTGCTCTTGTAACAGGCTTCTCCGAATCAGCAAATAGCATCCCTATACTTCTTCCTCTCTGACTTGCCAGTAATACTTATGATTTTTATTTAATGCTATTGCAAGTATCAGCTAAAATACAGCATACTGTAATAGCAGTATAAATGTTTGGTTCTGTAATATCCACATGTTTGGCATTCTTTGGTGTGTTCCCTGCTATTGGTCTATGTTATTTTGAGAGGCAATTCAATCTTTCTGTGGTGGTCTCAGAGTATGTTGTCTAAATTTAAAGCTTCCTTGAGGAGCATATCTGACAATTCAGTTTTGCCAACGAAATAGACCGATTAGGGAAAATGACCCTGCATTCACCTTGTCATAAAGTTCATGGTGCAAATTATCATGCGTCTCCCTCTCCAGAGGTCCATCGGGACTTGTGTAACTAGGGAAGAATAGCAGTTTCAGCTTTCATAATCAGAGGCAATATAGTGGAGCAAAGAAAGTAGAATTAGAAACATGATATGCATTGTTGCTGTAAATGTCACTCTGATGTGGATGATCATCCTTTCACATGCTTTTATTTTGTTTAAGCATTGCCCAGTGTTGGTAGCCTGTGCAACAAGATACCTCGCATGCTCAGGTAGTGACATCTTTCACTCCAGGCCTTCCAGATCCCAAACAATTTTCTACTGACTGATTGCAGTGGGGATTTGGGAGTGGAACATGATGATTACCCATTTTTCCATGCACAAAGCAGCTCATGGAGCTCAGATGTGTTTGAGCTATGGTGAATTTAACTGACAGTTACTGGAACTTATTTTTCTGCACCTGGAAGTCATGGAGTCATAATTGATGATTCCAGGTTTGCACTGCCATCCAGTCACCCGATCCTCATTTCACCATCCAAAATCCTCAGCATTCAGGTGTCAAAAACTGAGCTGACAAAGCAAAAATTGCCATGTGGAAGAACAGATTATGGAAGTGCAACAGAGGGAACGTAATGTGTGCAACATGGAAATGATGTGATGGAGCACTGGCACGCTGCCTTAAAGCACCTCTCCTTCTAAAGGGGCTGTTAGTTTCCCTTAGTGGGATACAAATCCTGTGAGACTATGCATAACTGCTCTTATCCATACATCTTCTGCTGATACAACATCCTGCTTTACAAGTCCTCCCCATCAACCTGCAGCGCACACATTTTTGTTGATGTACTGGCAACTGTATGCCAGGACAAATGCTATCAACAGCACTTTCTGCATTTGGCTAGATTTTCTCTTAATGTTGTGTGGATCAAGAAATCTAGACTGCTTTCACTGCAGTCATTAATGATTAAAATGAGGTCTCTATTTTGGACTAATTGCAAACATAGGAGAAGGATCTAAGAGACTTAATAGTATAGCGACCTGGTAAAATATCGCATAAATTCTATTAGTCTTCACTTACAATTTGTCTTAACAGCAGGTTGTTTCTGGTTGTGTTAGCTTTGTCTAAATATTGAAATCATTGACTTTCATTGGCATGAATAACTTTCTAGGATTTAAATTTGTTTTCTCTATGGGAGATATAAGGAAGAGGGGAAAGTTAGTGCAGAAGCCTGCTGGAGTATATTTACTTGGGACAGAATAATTTTTAACTTATTTCCAAAAGATGTGGTTATGAACACTAAGATTTTTCTGACCATATGTGTTCTGCTGCTAAACTTTGATTTGTTCTAAGAAACAGTCAGTTTCAAGGAAATTCGGAGGAATAAGGTGGTTCTTTGTTTCCAGGAAGGAATTGTTGATGAAGGGAAGGAGAAAACAGCACAAGATGCATCTTCTCCCTTCTCTCTAAATAGTCTGCAATTGGTAGCACACCTATGATTTAGTACTGAATTAGACTTAGGGAAGTATCTTAATCTTTGGACTGTGAAGTGCTCTTTGGAAGCTTTTCCTCTTTACAAAGTGTAAAACCTGGTTTTTGGGCATCAGCTGCTGAAAGGAAATCTGAAATGTGTTTTAGATACTAAAAAATGGATTTCTAAACAAGTTGGTGTAAGAGTGACTGTAGC